AAAAAAACGAAGGGTATTTTATTTATTTGAGACTTTTTATTATACTATTACTCTGTCCTGGACATTGAGTTCTACCTGGGTTCTATCCTCTTGGAAATTTATATATATATATATATGTATATATCTATCTATCTATCTATCTATATATATATATATATATATATATATATATATATATAGTTTATGAAAAAGGAGGATAAAATCCAGAGAGCTCAATGTAAATTTCAGAGCAAATAATTTAAACAAAAACAGACCACTTTAAGATTCCATGTAATAAATTATTTCAACACAGCCCTTTTAAATGAGAAGTCCTACCTACATTTGAGTTTTGAATTCAAAGTTACTTTCTCCTAGACTGCTCGCCACCCAAGGCTATAGAACCCTGTCTGTCCGAGGAAGAAGGAACCGGCAACCGTTGCACTATTCTGCCTTGAACCACAATTAAAACAGAAATATTTTCTTGTTATTGAAATGCTGAGAGCAGACAGAAAGAAAATTATAACAACTCCCATCGAAGGTTGTGAAGGAAAGCAAGAAGAAAGGACTAATCATCAACTGCAAGAAGATAGAAGTCATGGTTGTTAACAAAAGGATTAGCCCAATGTGTGAATTACTTACAAATCGGAGATACCAAAATCAAACAAGTGCGGAAATTTCAAAAATCTATCAAGGGTTTTAGCAGAGGATGCTGAGTGTGATATTGAAATCCAAAGGCGTATTGGGATAGCCAAAGATGCCTTTCATAAGCTAAGCAAAGTATTAAGAAATAGAAAAATTTCGCTAGAAGCAAGGAAAAGAGTATTAAAACTGCTACGTGATATCTATTGGAAATGCTAAGTGATATGTCCCAGAAAGGGATGTATTTGTTCGAAGTGGTTGTTAACTACTCTAACCGAGTAGGACAATCTAGCAGGTAACCGTCATGGACTGGTCCTCGTCGTAGTGGTAAGCAATAGGTGAAGACAATAGGCGTAGCCAATAGGCGTCATCCCCGTACCTCCACATAAGTCTGTATTTATGGCTGACACCAGCCAATCATATTACTGTGAGGGGTAACCCAGGTGTATGCATATTCATTACATCACTAGGTAACCATGATATATTTGGGAAGGACATTAGAATAAATAATAACGTAAAATGGCAGCAAACGGCCTGCATACGGATAGAAAGTGAGGTCAGCAGAGAAAAATAGAAAGAGCTGTAACAGAGAACGTATATTCACGTCGGATTTGTTCAAACTATACAGTGTAACGTTTGGGAGAGATAACATAAAGACGAATTTTATTAAGTGCTACAAAATATAGGATGTCATGGAGAGCCATGACCATCTACATTCTGAAGAGACATGGCACATAGAGAAGAAGAAAACTAAATGTACTTTTCGCTTGTGGAATTCTTTTCCGTCTCCGTGCTTTGCAGCTAAATTTGATCTTCAAAATTTTTTAAATGCAATGTCAATCGTTATCATCACTTCTCATTAAACTTCTAATGTTATGGTTCCTTCATAACATTTTTTCTAATTATCCCACACTTAGTAACCCTTATGGCTTAGTGGCTTTACTGCCTTTGCTTGGTGAAAATTCGATTAAAAAATACAAAACTGCAATGGGTATAAGACATGAATATGTTTTCTCCACGGATTTGTTCAACCTGTACCGGGAATCCATTCTGAGAGAACTAGAAGTTCTATCTGGATTTATTATTGGCGGTCAAGATCTTAACAATATAAGATATGCAAATGACACACTGTTGATATCAGTCCCATAAACAATACTACAAAAACTCCTACAGAAGTTAGTGAAGGAAAGCGAGAAAAAAGGACTAAACGTCAACTGCAAGAAGATAGAAGTCATGGTTGTTAACAAAAGGATGAGTCCAAAGTGGAATTACAAATCGAAAATACCAAAATCAAACAAGTGCGGAAATTTAAAAAAAAATCTATCAAAGGTTTTAGCAGAGGATGCTGAGTGTGATATTGAAATCCAAATGCGTATTGGGTTAGCCAAAGATGCCTTTCATAAGCTAAGCAAAGTATTAAGAAATAGAAAAATTTCGCTAGAAACAAGGAAATGTTTAGTAACCTGTTACATGATATCTGTCCTATATGGCAGTGAGTCCTGGACTCTCTCCTCAGCAGGAGAAATATAGTTCTACCGAAGGATGCTGATTATACCATGAACCAAACATGTGAGCAACGAAGTTTTGAAGAAAATAGAAACGTAAAGGAACCTAATAATTAATATCAAGAAGAGGCAGGCATAGGTTTCTGGAGCACATAATGAGGAAGGAGGGCTTGGAAAATCTGACACTCACTGGATAGATAGACGACAAGAGGGAGGGAGGGAGGAAAAAAATGCAAAACAGTGGGCGAGTAAATGGATGGCCGAACAGGGTTTAGGGAGAATAACAAAGCAAAGTTTATTAAGAGCTGCAAAAGACAGGAAGCTGTGGCGAGCCATGATCGCCTAGGCCCTGAAGAGACATGATATATAAAGAAAAAAAAACAAAAAAAAAACAAGAAAGTCCATTTTTGTTTTGCTGTTGTTTTTCTTTCTTTTTTTTTTTATTCTAAAACAGATCCCTTTTGATTTGCATTATTTACATTATTCGGACTGATATCTTCATCTTCATTATCATATTCACAACGTTTCCGCCGTTGTACGCTCTGGCCTTCTTCACTTGACTGATATTTCGAACCGAACCCTTTATTTCGTCCACCTGGGGCAGACTGTTCTTGTTCCACGTGCCATGCCTCTTCCGGATGTCAGTTATTTCCCTTTAACTCAACTCTCCAAGTTTTTTGGTTTGCCACTTAGAAAATACGAAAACTTAAGGAATCAGCACATATTCTAGGCTACGAAAATATCCTGCGCCGACCAAGCATAAGAATGAATATGGTATGGAAACAAGTGCTAGAGAAAAGCAATGGATAACAAATAATTGCAATATAAGCTCTAGTAAAAAAAAAAGCAATAATAATAAAAAAAAATGCAATATGAGCACTAGTAAAAATAGATGTTGAGACATTAGATTTATATATCCCAAAAATTCATGCACAGATGTCCTCAAGGATACATTGCCTAGTGGATAAAGACGTTGGTTAGATCCAGTGACTAGACCCAAATTGTTGTGGGTTCAATACCAGGCCACATCAGTAGTGACACAAAAACATGGAGAGTTGAGTTAAAGGGAGATAACTGAGACAACTGAAAAATGCGTGGAAGTAGAACCATCCCGAGTGGACGAAATAAAGGGTTCGCTTCGAAATTCTAATCACCTGAAGAACGGCCGAAACGTTGTAAATATGGCGATGAGGATAACAGTCCGAATAATCATGATAAGTCATCATAGTACTTCATCTCAGAGATTTCTTTGAATGTTACTACAGAGTTTGTTATCTTAATCATAGCCACTACCCCGTCTCACAAACGCACATCAAATCAAAACACCACAAAGTAATAATATAACTTGTCTGCGGATAGATTTTCCCCTTAGGCAGTCGATAATCCCCAGTTTACCGTACGTCTCTCCGGCCACAGATGTGGTCTGTAAAAGCTAGTCAATTATGTCCAATCTATGCGTCCACTGACCAGAACACTAACCTTTCCCCCATGAATAAAAAATGAAGTCAACAGTGATTGATTGGAGTAAGCGGTCAGTGATGTTGACCATAATGCTTTGTGTCTACTAGGGAGACATAGTCTCTCCTAAATGTTCATTAATACTCCTTCCTCGACGTCTTTTTTTTTAAGCATCTACTAAGAACCAACCATTGTTTTATCGCGTTGAGTAGTTGTGTTCGCCCCAACGCCACCAGAACTGCAATCTTTCATCATTTTCCTCATTTGGCGCGTTAATTGCATCAGGGTGTTAATCTTAGTTAAGCATCCACGTTCAGAGCAACTCTCGCTGCCACATCTAAGTAGCTTTTTTTCTTCTCTTTTCTCTAATTAAATTCAACCACCTTCCCATTACTCGGTGAGCCAATTTTATCAGTGTCAAAATCGCGGTGTGGTCAAGCAGCGAGGCAATTGTCCAGACAAACATGCTAAAAATAGGCTACTTTATAGATGACCAACGGGCGGCACCAAATGTGTCTTAGCTCATGATTCAACGAGGCGTTATGGAAAGCGAGTTACCGGGGCAGGCGTTTTTTTTCTCTCTCTCTCTCTAAATTCTCAACCTATTATTTTAAAATGACCATTCTTGATCTCTCCGCGAACTGCTTCCGTCCCAATCAAACGGAACAGCAAATACATGAAAGTAACCAGACTGAAAAAAAAAAAAAGGGATGAAATCAAGAGAACAAGGAAATGAAGGTCAAGGGATGCCATTCCGATTAGATATGTGTCGAGCCTTCAACTGACCATTACTAGTAGAGCCAATTAGTAGCTTTGGTACACATTAAAGACGGCACTGCTTACTAATTTGACCAATGGTCAGGCATCTGACGAGCGTTTGGTAGTCTGTAATTTAGATACTGCTAAAGATTAAAGGAAAACGAGAAAAAAGACGATTGCAAAAGGGTCGCTGTGGTGTGAGTGGTAAGATGATAAATGGAGGGAAATTCTAAAAGGGTCTAAGGGGGCTATGCATTAAAAGTACATAGAGGAAACATTGTGTTGCAAGA